GCCAATGCACGCTGACATTGTCGATCGAAAAACTGACGTGGCAATCAATATTTTATAATCGATGATAAAATAATGGTAACATTGACGTGGCATTCCTACGTGTAATCAATAAATATTTTACACTCGATGATAAAATAATGGTAACATTGACGTGACATTTTTACTTGTAAGGGACGTGACATGGACTCTTACATGTAAAGTGATGTGTCATCGAGTATAAAATATTGATTGTCACGTCGAAATTTTGGTGTCACGTAAGTTTTGTGATCGGCCATGTTAGTGTGCATTGGTCGGAATCTGCTTTCGAGACAAAATTGCAACACTTAATAAAGGTTTGGTATTTTTTTGCAAAATTGAAAAAGTTTAGTTTTATTTGCAATTAAACAAAAAGTTGGGTTTTTTTTTTATGCAATTAACCCTTAATATAATTACTAAAAGTTAGGTCTTCCATTAGAATTTCCCATTATTATTAAGATAGTTGCTAATGTTTACTTTTGGTGTTTACTCTATTAAAATTTTTGTTACTCTTATAGTTTTTTTTTTATTAATTTAAACATTAAAATATTGATATGTATTGGAGAAAAATTATAATGAAACCAAATCAATATTATAAAAAATTAAATAAATATCGTATTAAAAGTACAAAAAGATAAAACACAAATTTGTAAAACACATATTGTATTAAATAAATATCGTATTATAAAAGTACAAAAAGATAAAACACAAATTTGTAAAAAAATAATTGGAATTTATGTACAGTAATTATAGTGAAACTTGAAATTAATATTATAGTAACTCAATTGTGAGAAGTAATTATATTGAAATTTAAATTAATATTATAGTATGCATAATGTGAGTATTTGTTTAATTAGAAAACACTCCACATTTTTAGAGTTGTGGACAGGGGCGAAGCCAGCCTCAAATTTCACCGGGGTCGGCAATATTTTTTAGCGGGGTCATTAACCTAGTAAACAGTGTTTGAACAGTATTTTATATTAAAAATTTTGAAATCCATAAGGGTCAGCTGACCCCAGCAAGAAAGTGTGGCTCCGCCACTGGTTGTGGAGATAAAAGATTTTTTTTTCATGATTTATATCTAACTCTTTTGCACAAATGCACATGGTTATAAAATTTCCCGGTTTTTATATAATAAAACTGGAGTATACAATTATGTTGGAATATCACTTGTGAGTGTCCCACATTGATTCTATAGGGAAAATGAGTCTAGTATATAAACCTAGTGGGCTACTCCTTCTATCACCAATTGGTTTTGGGATGGAACCTCACTAAGGTGCATCTAAGCTCACCCTCTTATGGTGCGCCTTCATCTGGTGGGACCGCACTCTCTTCCCCCTTCCCCCGGTTCTAACAAATTCTTATAAGTGATAAAGGATAAACACCTAAATCCAGATTGCATATAAATAGTAATGGCACTATATATCACTCTCCTTGCTTGCCAACTTTATACTTGCGTATGCTCTCATATACATACACGGGATTTCTCAAAATTATAACCATGTTTTTCTCGAGACGACCTAACCGTTAGGCAAGTCAATTCATTCTTTACAAAAAACGTATACACATATTTTCCGTAAAATATTAGTTAACATTTATTCCTCCTACGCTTTGTGCTCACATGCCACATACTGTCTTTGGTGGGCTTCTTCAATCTGATGAGCTGGAATATGTAACCAATCCGCCTCCGCCACTTCAGCACCACACGTGGCTTTGTGTGTTCCACGACACGTTTGACCTTATTGGCCTCCTCACATTGCTGGCCCAGGGGCATTTTGGGGATTTCGGTCCCCTTATCGCATGAGGCATCACCATTGTCTTCAATCTCGAATGATATGAAAGAGTCTGCAGTTTTTAGATTGAAATGTCGATCGAGTTACATCACAAAAATGTACCCCAAAGGGTGGAAGTTTAATCTATCCATTATTCTTATAGTAAAATAATTATATAGATTGAAAAAAAAGGTGATATATATGTGCATGTAAAACCTAGCTTTGTTTTCAACTAGCATTGATTACATTGATTATGCCATATAAACCTAGCTTTGTTTTCAACTGAAAATTTCATTTTCAGGTAGTAATGACATGTTCCGTGCAAATGGGGTTAAAACGGGAAACATAAAAACTCAAAATTTGCTATGGTTCACTGTTCACATTAGGAAAACATAAAACGTAAAATTGTATTTTTAGTCCTGATAGTTTAACGCGTAGCATTTTTAGTCCCAAAATTTTAACTTTTTGCCTTTTGATCCTGTAATTTAGTATTTTGCTGCAATTTCAGTTCTTTAGACTGAAATTGCAACAAAATTTAAAATTATAGGATTTAAATTGCTAATGAAAAGTTCAATCAAAAGTCCTTAGGACTGAAATTGCAACAAAATTTAAAATTACATGATTTAAATTTGCTAATGAAAAATTCATCCAAAAGTTTTTTTTATTAGCAATTTTAAGTTTTGTTGCATTTTCAGTCCCAAAAGACTGAAATTACGTTGAATTTTAAAACCATAGGACCAAATAGCAAAAATGTTCAATTTTTAGAACTAAAAACCCCACTGAATCAAACCAACATGACTAAAATTGCAATTTTGGCCAAAGATATTTCAAAAACTAAAATGGGATCAAATAATAATAACAACACTTTAATGTTCTCTACTTTTCCTGATTTACTGTTTTACAGCAGTGAATTTTAACATGGATCACAAGAAATCAGCAACACACCATACATATGTACCTAAAAACTGTCTTTCAGTAATTATATCAAACACCTTGTGGTCAATCATCAAAACTTAAACAAACCAAAACCCATGCAGACATCTAACCAAAAAAACAAGAAAATTTGAAGGAGTTAATGAAATCTAACCATCTGGGCTAGCTGAATATGAACTGTGGCCGCTGTGATCCGGTTTTGGCTTTCTGGGCTCGACGAGATTGAGCAAAGCAAAAATCTTTATGATTTTAGCTGCTGCTGGTGGTGATATTTTCTGTTTTTCGCTGAAATTCTTGTGTGTTTGGCGATGGAGATGATTAGGGCCCTGTTTGGATGCTAGAATTAAGAGCTTTTCGTTCAAGCAAAGGGCACAAATCCCTATGACAAACTGCCCTGGGTGAGAACTGCACCTTTCATCTTTTCTGTACTTGTTCATAGCCTCTGTTTTGTGTGATGTTGTACTGTGTGTAACTTGTGTGTGTGTGTGTTTTTGTGTGTGTGTGTGTGTGTGTGTGTTTTTTTTTT